ATAAGCATGCCTCGACAGACCATGAGAACGGGGAGAACGCGAGCTCGGAGTGGCATGTGTCGACAACAACGGCAAATGCAACGGTAGAAATCTTTGATAGCCAAGTAGCGCTTTCGCCTCTACTTCCGAAGAGCTGTATGCAAGTTTGTGTACGCGCTTCATGATAATGATATTCTACTAGTGCACCGGAGTGAATGTAAACAGGAAAACGGCGCAGTGAGTCTAATTGTCTTGTTCTTCTCTTTGTCGGCTTCGCTTCTCATCCTGTCGAGTCTCAGCCGACGTGCCCAGATTGGCAGACGTAGTGGAAGGTGACCCCTCCTGCCGAGGAGAGCCGACGAAGTGTCCTGGCGAGCGCAACCTTCCAGCACCCGCAAGCTCGCTTCATCAATATGGTCTAGTTTCCAGCAATCCATCGGCACAGGTGCGTATGAGTGCCTCAGCACTCGCGGAGCGAGGCTTGATGGTACACCTGACATCCTCGAGGTACCTATGCGAGCAGCGTGAGGGGTACTGTCAGCAATCTTCACCGCTTACATCCACTTACGAAACGATGCCGGACTTTCCGCGAGGTTGGATATGTATAGGCTGACCGTGCTTGTCTAGTGGTGGCGTGATGTTGTAGGTGTGCAGGACAGACGAGATGTAAATGAACAGCATATTGTCTGCAAGGTGTCGCCCAGGGCAAACTCTGTCAGAGAAATGCTACGCGTGAGTGTCCTATTCATTGGCACTGAGCTGCAGGGATACTGTACCGACGACCGAATCCGAACGCGACAGTTGAAGGGTCTCTGACTGCGGCGTCCAAATTGCCATCTTTCATAAAGCGTTCCGGTACAAACTCGTCTGGCCGTGGATAATATTCCGGGTTATGGAGGATAGACCTGTAGTCTTTTCAGCATTTGATGCATGACTAGCGAGATTGTTTCCTTGGCATACCATATGTTGACTATGACGGCGCTGCCCTTGGGGATGAAGTACCCGGAGTACTCACCATCCGAGGTGCTCGTGTGGGGTACAGCCAGAGGGGTGGGGTGGTGCCAACGGAGGGCTTCTTTGATTATCGCGTTGACGTATGGTAGCTGATCCAGGTCCTCCAACTCGGGAAGACGGCCAGGCCCAACAACGGCATCCAGCTCAGCCTGAGCTTTCCTCTGTACATTTGGATAGAGCGACATTGCTAGGAAGAAGCCGCATAACGTAGAGAAAGTCTACCTCGATGTGTCAGTGTGGGTACCTGAGGACGTGGTGATCTGCTGACTTACTGTATCAGTAGCTGCTGCATGTGAACACATTAGACATATACCAGAGATATCAACTGTGTTGTCTCACCCGAGTATACGGTAGCGGCAATGTCCAATGCTACAGCTTCCTCCTCAGCCACAGATTCAGCCGTCAAACGAGACAGTTCCTCGCGCATCTCAGCTGCAATATTGCTCGCGTCGTACACACCGTCCTGTACATAGGCATCGCCGTGTTCAGACTTGAGTGGTGAAGACAGGTCTCATAATGCTTACCATTATACCATGCTTCGTATCGTTCCAAGGCACAAATCTCATCTCGCGAACTGCTTTACGACAGCGCTGTAATGTGCGCAAGAATGAGGCGCCAGGTAGCCATGTAGGTAGTCGCGCGAGGACGGGAAGGAACTCCAGAATAGACGTCGCCGTGATAAGGTGTTCTCCGGTAGCACTCCCTCCTTCGATAATGGCGAGATACTTGTCATTCTTTTCTGCAATCCGTATCCCGTATGTCATCCCGAGAACGACGGCTGCCAAGGAGCTGAACACCAGAGGGAACAACCCGAATCAGTGAGCTGAAGAGTAAATTCACCTCGTTTTGCTCACTGGCGTATATCTTCACAGGGGTCTGGCTTGCTCTGAAGAAGCCTCCGTAGCAAAATAGCGGCACCCCTCTTCACATGAGGATCGTGCTTGGACACCACCCCCGTATGGAAGTGTTGCCAAAACATTCGCCTGTAACGGCGCCATTGAGCCCCGTAGGGGAACATCCCAAAGTTCCAATCCCATCCCACACTGCTTGTTGAAAATCAGTATCACGGCCTGCTTGCATAGACGACCGACGTACAGCGCTACCATATTGGACTCGGGCCTAGACGAGTAGATAGCCGAGCGTTTCTCGAGCAGATCCATGGCGATATCAGCGTCGTCTACGACGATGAATGTTTGGCCAAACGCCTTCAGCGACATGATCTTTCCTAAATGGTTATAAGCGCTTCAGGGCATCTAAGAAGCCAGAGCAGCAACAGCTCGTACCGTACTGTCTGCTGAGCTCTTGATAACCTACCCATGGCGCGATCTTGGGGATACGGAAGATATTGCCAACGAGGGGTAGAGGCGGAGGTCCGGGAGGCAGGGGTCCCGGGACAGAGGATGCTGATCTGTATAGGAAAATCAGGAGGATGGCTAGGGCCGCAAGGCCGGAAGACGCAACGAGACTGAGAGAGAAGATCATGATAGAGGCCGGATGTGGGGAGTCGATATGAGGACGGATGAGTCCAGTGGTTTGCCATCTGTGCTTTTAAGAGCCGCAATGCATTCAGTGGAAACTGCGCCCAGATCTATAGAGCGAGCCCAACTCACTGGTGATGTCCCCGACTCCCTCACATATGACATTTGAGCGGTTGGATAATCGATGAACACGCTACCGGTGGTGCCTTCTATCGCGCCCCATGCCTTCTGCGCTCTCACGCATCCTCTCAATCTTC